ATTTGAAAGTACGTGCGACACACCTCAAATGGAGGGTGGAAGCTGGAGACTGGAAGATGCACCATCGACGGGGCACAGAGCTCGTCGCAGACATGGGTACAAAGCTTCTTGGTGCCAACAAAACGAAGGATCTGTCAAAGAAGATGAATCTGGAATGGCTACCAGATGTAGTAGCTTTCTCCAGAGCGAAGGAAGAAAGGATTGAGAAAGAGGAAGAAAAATTGGCAGAGGAACAGGACAGAGAACCAGCTGTGACGGTATCCAAGAAGGTCTTTGCAGGAGATATGGAAAAGGTGGTAAAGATCGCCACCCTCATGGCGGTACTTCAGAAGGTAGAAAGAGTATATGCCAGGGACAAGAGTGAGACGGAAGAAGGATCAGAAGTTTTGGCGGCATTTGGCTTGTTGATGATGATCCTTGGAGTGGTTTTGTACAAGTTGGTAGAAAGAATGTGGAAGATCTTTCATGAGAAGAGAGATCACGAGGAATGCCAAGCTCGCGCCCTTACGCGCGACTCTCGCGCCCTTATGCGCGACTCTCGCGGCCTTACGCGCGACGTTCGCGGCTTCATGCGCGATCGAGAACGTCACCAACTTCATGTACGCGAAGAAGAAGAAGAGATAAGTTGTGAAGAAGGAAAACAGACCACCGTGAAAGTGGCGACTCTGAGGATGAGAAAAGTTGAAAACAAAGGTTCCAATGAAAAAAGACAGGAAGGAGGAAGCTCCGCTACCAGAAGCGACAGTCACACAACCGAGAAAGGCACGGAGGAACGACATGACAAAAAGGGAGCACAGACAGTGCCTCCTATGCCCGCTCAAGGACGGAGCTGTGGGAACCCTGGAGGAGAGGGAGCCCAGTCTGCTCGTCCTGGACGACGCTGTGGGAACCCTGGAGGAGAGGGAGCCCAGTCTGCGGGTCCGAGCGGAGCAGTGCCCACTCCTGGATGGCGCTGTGGGAACCCTGGAGGAGAGGGAGCCCAGTCTGCGGGTCCGAGTGGTGCAAAGCCTAACCAAGGAGAGGGAGCTCAGTCTGCGCGTCCAGATAGTGCAGAGAAGCCGAACCTGGTGGGGCCAATCATCACACCAAATGGGAGGAGATTCCATAGAAGCAGTGGATGCCCGACGTTGGCACAGTCTTGGAAAGGAAGAAAGCCGCTTTGTGGTGAATGTGGCGACACCTACTTGGTGGCTGACGTGATGATGATGGATAAGAACCAGTTAGTCCATACGAAGAAGAAGTGCCCTAAGGTTGTGGGAGAGCTGATCGGATATGATGCATGCCAAAGGTGTGCTTAGCGGCTTGGGCCTAGAGAGCTCAAATTTTCCAGAAAGCAGGATTGCATGAACATGTCAATCCTGGGAGGAGTGCATGGATGTCAGACACTCCAATTTGAAACGTGAAACAGCATGTTCAGTTGTGTAGGTTTCAGTCTTGCTGAGAAAGTCAGAGAAGATTAGCACAGCCACCTGCACAGGATGACACGCCAAATCGAGACGGCATAGCCGCTTTGTGGTTCAAAACAAGTTGCCGGGGCTGACCTGCGTGCAATTTGTGATATATTTGTGATATATTTGTGATATATTTGTGATATATTTGTGATATATTTGTGATATATGTGTGATATATTTGTGATATACTTGTGATATATTTGTGATATATTTGTGATATACGTGATATATTTGTGATATATTTGTGATATATTTGTGATATATGTGTGATATATGTGTGATATATTTGTGAAATATTTGTGATATATGTGCTATATATGTGATATATTTGTGATATATGTGTGATATATTTGTGATATATGTGTGATATATGTGTGATATATTTGTGATATATGTGTGATATATGTGTGATATATTTGTGATATATTTGTGATATATTTGTGATATATGTGTGATATATTTGTGATATGTTTGTGATATATTTGTGATATATGTGATATATTTGTGATATATTTGTGATATATGTGTGATATATTTGTGATATATTTGTGATATATTTGTGATATATTTGTGATATATGTGCTATATATGTGATATATTTGTGATATATGGGTGATATATTTGTGATATATTTGTGATATATTTGTGATATATTTGTGATATATTTGTGATATATTTGTGATATATGTGTGATATATTTGTGATATATGTGTGATATATATATATATGATATATTTGTGATATATGGGTGATATATTTGTGAGATATTTGTGAGATATTTGTGAGATATTTGTGATATATTTGTGATATATTTGTGATATATTTGTGATATATTTGTGATATATGTGTGATATATTTGTGATATATGTGTGATATATTTGTGAAATATTTGTGATATATGTGCTATATATGTGATATATTTGTGATATATGTGTGATATATTTGTGATATATATATATATGTGATATATTTGTGATATATTTGTGATATATGTTTGATATATTTGTGATATATGTGTGATATATGTGTGATATATGTGTGATATTTTTGGGATATATGTGTGATATATTTGTGATATATATATATATATGTGATATATTTGTGGTATATTTGTGATATATTTGTGATATATGTGTGATATATTTGTGATATATTTGTGATATATGTGTGATGTATATGTGATATATTTGTGATATATGCGTGATACATGTGTGATATATTTGTGATATATTTGTATATATTTGTGATATATCTGTATGTTGTATCTATATATATATAGTTATATACGTACATACATACATGTTTCTGTGACGGTATAAAAGATGATCAAACATGGTGGTGTCCAGCTTTTACACTAAAGCTAGCTGGTAGAGCATGTATAGCTGGAGCTTGACTCTCAGAAACAGCATGTGGTAAGCCCAAAAATAAACCTCCATTCGGAATGATTTGTTGTTGGATTTTCCACATATCAGGTGCTGACCCATCCCCTTTTGATGTTCCCATGTGAACCGGTCTCGACCCGCCTGTGTTGATGACCAGAGCTAAAATGATGACTCCAAGTGTACTCGGGATCCTGGTCGACGAGATCTGGAGATTTCCTCATGGATTTTTTCCGCAAAAAAGCGCATGCCTAAGGCGCCCAAGATCACAACGCTGGGTGTTCACATCAAAACAACTGGTGCTGGTCCCACACAACATCTGTGTCATTGGTTCTCATCCCCGAAGCCGAAGTTGGGTTGGTGGTTAAGAATTCACCCTTGACCCTGGAACAATTGGGAAAAGTCCTGTGAAAAAAAATAGTTTATCCCATCATATACGATTCTATCCAATTATTATCATCCGCTTATATATATACATATCCCCTTATATCCCCATGATATCCCATTGTATCCAGCTATTTTCACACTCGAAACCACATGGGTGACCATGAAACACCCTTTCCGCCGCCACAGTCCAGCCAGCAAAGAGCCCGTCGCCACACTCGCATTCGCAGGCGGGATTGCTACCTGCAACGTCCGACGGTGGCAACCGGGTGGAGCCGGGAAGGGGAGATGACTGACCTGTTTCAATGTCTTGGGGTGTGTTTGAAAAAAAAAAAAAACTTTACAAAAACCACAAAAAAAAACAACTCCAACATCAAAATCAAAGGGATGATTACTTGTTGGATGATCTCCAATGACAATTCCCGATTTTCTGAATCGATGTCTGCCTTTTTCCGGCAAAAAACCAACGCAACTGCGGTGGAACCTCTGGAAAATGTGGCCATGAGGACCCTCCAACGGCTGTTTGTGTCCGCACTATTTGACCATCCAATTTGGAAATTGAAAATAAAAAAAGTGAGCGACCTACCCATGTTTCAACATCCCCAGAATTTCCAGCGACATCATCGACTCGGATGGCTCACCCCAACTGTTACCAGCAAGCCATGACGAGGCTGCTCTTGGCGTATCCTAACTATGGTTGATCAACTACCCTCTGGTAATGACTAACATATAGAAAATCACCATTTCTTAGAGGTAAATCAACTATTTCTGTCTATGGCTTTTTTTTCCAGGTCGCAAACTGTAAACGTTAAGAAAGGCCGGGTAACGGGCCACCGGTGGCCCGGTGGCACGGTGGCATCCGGTGTGATTTTTGGGGCTCCACACAACCGTCTGCTTGCCAGCAGACCGAGCTCTTTGGGCAGCTTCCATCTGAGAAATGTGAGGCAAAATAGGTTTCCCTACTATGGAAGGTTTTAGGTTAGGTTATGGATTGGTTATAGGTTAGGTTATACTATGGGATAGGTTATACTAGTTGGTTTTTCTAGGTTTCCCTACTATGGGTTATCATTATCATCATAGTCCAAAGGGTAAATCAGATACAATGGCTCATGTGTTGACAGGGTAAATTTAATCCCCATGAGGCTTCATGAAATTTTATGGGGATAGATATAATTATAAAGGGAATCAACCTGAATATGGGATCTACTACTGCATTTTCTTAAATCAATAATATTAGGGGAAGATGTGAAATATGTAAACATCAACAATACTGTGCAGGGTAGATGGAGTTCTTCGCAAAGAAAAATGGGGAGCCAACATGGTTCAAACCACACAAAAAGAATGGTTCTTTGTCAAGAAACATGGGGATAGGGAATCAACAGCTACTCGTACATGTTGAAAAACCTCTACAAGAATCTGTAGGCAAAAAGGCACCATGGGCTGTCAAAAAGGCAGATTTTTTGTACTTCGAGGACCATCGGTGAAAACACGAAGCATCTTATGGTGAATGCAAGTCCCCAGTGGATCATACCATAGATGGATTGTAACAATCGTGTTTGCCACATTACCGGAGGGTACCTCGAATAACTTAGCTAGCTAGTCCCCATTCAGTGGGTCACGGACTATCCCATCTGTAGATGACGTGAATAACTATAGTTATTCACCACTGTATAATCCAAGTGTGGTTAATAACTATAGTTAACTATAATTCATAGTGCGATATCTAACTATAGCTATCGTCATGTTCACTTAATAACTGTGATAAAGTGCGATGATCCTCCAAATATCAACCCAAAGTTGGAACTTCGATCTGAACAAATGGTCGCGACTCGCTGATCTTCTCCGTAACGCGGAAAAAGCGGCAGGTCTCTGATCGAATTTTTATCTCAGCACATCGTGCACAGTGCAAATCTGCACCAACAGTCTATCAAGAGGAAAGTGTTACTCTGAAATATATATATATACTATGTTTCTTCTTCAAACAACATAATGATGACATAATGATGATAAATGAAAATAATAATGATATATTATTAATTATCATATAATTATTATCGCTGATACTATAATATAGAGATTCAAACTATGCCAGCTGACCTGCCAGCCTGATCCCCAACTTGGCCCCACACCGATGGGTCGCACGGCCCAGGGATTGTCCTGCCGTCAGGGGCCGTTGGCGTTTCGCAAGGGATTTATCAAGAATTTTATGGGGAATTTCTGGGCATAAGGGTGATTTTGTGGGATAAATATCCTGGTGATTTATCATGATTGTTCATTCTATCCCAAGAATTATTGGAATTGTATGTGGATAAAATTGGATAAAATGGGAGTGTATGTAACATTATGTAACCTGTATCGAATGGGACAGTAATGGGAGAGTGAAAGAAAGAATGTTGAAATGAAACCAAGAACATCAAGAAACGCCAGCGCCTTAGAATGCCTTGACTTCCATGCTTTTTCTGCCATATGGAAACCCCTTAATGGCTGTTGCGTGGTGAAGCCACGTGTTTCTGTAAGCCGCAGCCTGCTTAAGGATGCTTTGCTCGGCAATATCTGCCGAAAAATTGTTGATTCTTGTGGGTGCGTGGAAAAAAAATAACCTCATTGAACCATATTTAACCATCCGGTCTGGATCTTTTCAATGATTCTATCTGATTCTTTCTGATTCTTCTCTATTCATCCAATCCACACCAAGTCTCAACCAATCGAAAAGTCCAACCGAATCCGAATCTATCCCCTGAAATTGGGGCACAAAAACATCCAGTCCAACCCGCTCGCCATGACCGTCCTGTGCGCGTTGAGAGATCACCGCAATGATGGGAATAAAGGCTAAGGCACTAACGATGCACGACGCGTCCAGGCGCACCTCCAGCTGCCCCCTTTTTTGAGGGCTAGCTCCAGGTTTACCCATGTGACATTTGATGGGATTATATGGGATTATACCAACTCAATATTAGATTTGGCCTGTGAAAATCTGTGAAAGGGCCGAAAGGGCCCCCCATTTATGGCCATGGGAAAGCTCTGGGTGTCCAAGCCACAAGCCATAGGTTCTGGGTGTGCGCCGGACCACCGGACCGTGGGACCATCGGACCATGAGCCGTTGGGTCTTTTCTCTACCGTGTTGACCATGTTGACCAACATTCCATCCCAATTTGTTTCATCGGTGACATCCGCACATTCTGCTTGTTCTAAGAGATTTTCCCCACCTTCTGTGATGACAGGGATGCCCTTCAGGGCTTGACCCTCCCATGCCCCAGCGCAAGCTGCACCTTTTGCACGTGATAACGAGCCTGCGAAAAAAAAAAAAACTGAAGACACAGCAGTTTTGGTCGTGACATGTCGTGACAGTGGGTGCCCTCTCACCTTGGATACCTTGGCTTCACTAGCGTCATCAAAACTTGGGGAGAGATTTTCCACGCCATGGTTGATCAAAAATCCACACTTCTCACCACCATTTGCGGTCGCCAAAATGGAAGCTGAACGATGCACCACTATGGCCAATCCATCCCCAAAAACACGAAAAGTGGAGATCTGTGTGGCTATGATCCCTCCATTAAAAAACCAAAACAAAGCGCCTTGTCGCCTTTCAGGATTCGCTCCGTCAACAGTGAGTTGAAGGCCGAAGCCACTGCAGAGCCTCCAACAGCAGCAGCTATCGATTTGATCCTTATTTGGTTGCAACTGTACACAGACTTCCAGGCCCTTTCCCGGAAAAAAAGATACGAACTGCACCATTCAACATCAACCGGTTGATGTTTGTTCAGCGGAAGTCTGCTGCGGGTTCCATGTTTCCCATAAGCTCTCTCTTCTTGGGCGGTGAAATTACCAACCAATGAACCAGGGCTTCTGATCCAGGCTTCACGTTATAGATTGAAAATCCAGAATCCAAACTCAGAGGGTTTTTTTGCAAATGTCATGCCCACCCGGAAAAAACAAAAAACATCAAGATCCATCAAGATCCATCAACCTTCAAGGATTCATCTCAGAACAATGGCAAAAACCCAGCAAACTTCAATAGTTGAAGAGACCTTGGCCAAATGATGAACCCAGTCGATGGGATGCAAAGCGCCATCCGGCCATAATCGGCCATAGCAACAACTTCGCATCCGGCCTAAAACTAGCAGTATTGCCACCTCGCAGCGGGGAGGGGATACGTGGGATTCGTGGGGATATAGTATCATATAAGAAAAAATGAATATAGGTAACCAACTTAATTTATGATGTTTGGATGTGAAAATGGTGGCTTGACCCCAAAGTAAGCACCTATTTGTAAGGAAAATGATGTTCTAAACCATTGGATTTTGACAAGCACCAGGCTTCCGCACATAAGAAACCCTGTTGGCCAAATGTTACATACCAAGAATGGTCGTTTCTTTCGGCAACAAAAATGACGATGTGATCAGTCCTTATAAACCATAGCGGCAGATGATTCCCAATCATGACAAACTGACCAACAAGTTGACACTGGTTTAAAGCAATGGCCACACTTTTTTGTTGGTCTCAGCGGGTGAGTCTATTGTCATCCTCTATTTGTGAAAGCTCGTGCGAGGATCTGAATATTCGGTTTCAAATCATGCTGGGGATTGATCAGCTTTGTTTGACCACCCCAATGATAGATCGAGACATCCCTATGACGATCTCAAGTGTCGGTTTTTTGTTTTTCCCTTCGTCTACCAACAGATTTCCTGTGCCAACATCAGCTAAATTGCAGCGTCTGTCTACTATTTCACCACAGATTTCAAATGATCTTGAAGACATTTTAAATGGAGAGAGATGGTGATCGAATGGGATTTCATGGTGGTTGAATGGTCACTTCCCTAATTCTTCAGGTCAAATTCCTATTCTGTCCATTGTGACGCATAAAGAATCCCCACTTTTCATGGTCTTTCCCCCACTTTCGATGCTCAAATTTCAGGGAATTGCGACCAAGAGACGCGAAGTGAATTCACATCCTCAGCCCATGCTGGGCTTGACCCAGGGCTGAATGCCTGGGCATCGGAGGTCACGTAAGAGTCATTTTAAGCACGCAGCAGTTTCTAGTGATGATCCACAATGAACACTGTCTGTCAATGTGAAATGTACGGTTAAAGTCAACTGTCTGTTAATCTCTATTAATGTCTATCAATATCTATCAATGTCTATCAATATCTATCAATGTCTATCAATGTCTATCAATGTCTATCAATGTCTATCAATGTCTATCAATATGAAAAATGATATTTTACCGAGCAGTTTGTAGTGATCATTCACAATTCACCACCTTGTAATCCATGAGTCCCAAAGGGATTTTCGGCAAAAAGAGATCTGGGTTTCGGGTCGAGTTCGATGGAATGAAGTTTTGGAGACGTCATGGAAAAGTGTGAGTCACTGAGAAAAATATACCCTCTGGTAAACATACAAAAAACTATGGAAAATCACCATTTTCAATGGGAAAATCCACTATAAATGGCCATTTTCAATAGCTATGTTAAATTACCAGAGGTTACTTCAACCACATGGAGAATGCAATATTTTTCTGAGAATGTGACACAACGTGACGCTACCAAGAAGGATATGTCAAATATGTAAGAAATATGTACATGTCCCTCGCACCATGTCCCACACCCAGATTTTTTGAGAGCCTGAAGATAGCCGAAGATCATGCTAGCGAGTGTCAGGATTGCAATGGCCACATACCTCAGTTCCAGGTGCCATGAGTTTTCAGCCACCGGACATGAGGTCCCACCAGTGAACTGCTGAAAAATCACTGCTGTTCTCATGTGGCAAACTGCGGCACCCAGATACCAGCACTTCTCTCCATTTAAAAAAAGCTCAGTAGATGATTCTCCTATGAAAAATTATTATGAAAATCTCCGTTGACTTCAGGGATTTCCCAGCCAGCCACTCCCTCCGGGTCCCTCCATTGAGTTCCCGGGGTTCCCGGGCTCCAGCCACATGTAGTATTTGTTGAGGACCTGGGCAGCAGCCATGGTCAGTCATGGTATGCCCCACAGCCAGGAGGTCACTTGAAGCCCCGAATTTCGGGATGGCTGGAGAAACCCTGGACGCATGTGAAATATATATATATCTACATAATTATATGATATATATATATGTATATATATATAATATATATGTGTATATATATATATTTATATATATATGTATATATATATATTTGGAATCTTTATAGATAGACTTCACAGGTGTTGGAACCTCCATTTTCATTGCGATTTTTCTTAGGGAATATGTTTGATTGGCCAATGGATGTGCAGCTATGGATCAAACCCCTGGTACTGTTCACATCGAAATAGCCTGGTAGTTGGCAGATGGTAGATGGCCGCGTGGTTTTATGCATTTAGGGTCATGTCATAGTGTTTTTTACAACATTTGCTCTATTCTCGCTGTGCCAATAGCCTCTTTTTCACTCCTGTTTCCTTTTATTTTGCACATGACTTAGAGATTTGCACGTGAGTTAGAGTTTGTGGAACCAGTAGGTCGGGGGTTGGGGTGGGGAGTTCGGGGGGGCGTAATGACGTTTTCTCGCCTGTAATTTTGTTCAAATGGTCTCGATGTCACGATCTTACCGTTTTCCTTGCAATTTCAACACGCTGTTGATGTTACGATTCTATACCCTCTGGTAGTTTAACATAGCTATTGAAAATGGCCATTTATAGTGAGTTTTCCCATTCAAGATGGTGATTTTCCATAGTTATGTTAGTTTACCAGATGGTATATGTTTTTTAATATTTCAAAACGCTCTTGATGCTACGCTCTTACTTTTCCTGCTATGGTGTACCAGTGGGTCTGGAGACAAAGTCTGTGTATGTGTATCTAGTTCGCTGGATGCTCCTCCAAAATATGGCATGCCATATCTTTCAATCCATCCCCAAATCACGTTGTTGGTTACAGTATCTCATTATAATTATGTGTATGTATGTGTATATATATATAATATATCCCATGTAATATTCCATAATATCCCATTGACAATCCCATGTAATATCCCATAAATATCTCGAAAAAGAAGCCATTGATAGCCCCTTTCTTCTCCCAGAATCTTCACTGGCGGCCCGAACCCAGCGCGCACCAATGGCTGCCACAGGTGTATAAAGTTTCCCAATGATCAGCGCTAGAGCCGCGTTCATGCCTGCGTTGCTGTTGGTGAGAACCCAAAAAGTTTGGGATATACCAATAGTTACGAATCTCATCTATATATTGTTGATGGTGATCTGAGATATAACTTGCAGCTTTCATGATTATGTATATATATATATAGAGAGAGAGATACATATATATATATATATTGTATTATATATATATACACATATGTATGTAACATATAACTTACAACTATTAAACACCATTAAATCCCGTTGAATTCACCATGAAATCCGGTAAAAAAAATCAGGCTCGTCTCGCATCTCGCACCTTGCGAATATGCCATGTTCATCAGCGTGGCAGTCAGCACCTCGGGGCTGCAAAAACCGCTGAGGAAAACAACCCGGTGGTATCCGATGGTATTTTATAGCTGGTCCATGGGCGTAAAAATTCCCCAAAATTGAATGGTTTTGACCCATCAAAATATGGATATCCCTAAATTTTTTGTCATATTGACCAGCCTTGTTTCGTGGATTATATGAACAATATCCCAAGTTCTTGGTGCTTAAAGCCGCTTAAAGCCCCAAAATTATCTGCAACATGCTGAACATATGGTGAAAAACAGTGGTTTGGAGCCTTGGACACGTTGGGGGCATCTTGGGACCTTCTCAAAGCGGAAAATCAGTGGATTCAAAAAAAGTAGATGTTCGCGTCAATTTTGCTCCGTTCACAAGGATGGTTAGGTTGTTTCCAAATAAAGTGCGAAAAGTGACTCGCTGCTTTTTCCCGCTCACGTCGAACTTGGAACTTGGTGAAACGGTGAAACTTGCTGCTCTCGTTCGGGGAAACCACAAAAAAACAAGCCATGGCCATGGTGTACCGGTCGAGTCCCAATGGTCAACCAACTGAACCAGGGCCTGGCGGCTCCTCATGGTTTCTCTGCCATTTTGGTGTCCGTCATTTTTGGACAAACTCAAAATGGTGCCATAGGCCATTTTGGTAGGTAAAATGGCTTTTAAAAGTGCTTTGACTCAAAATGTGTTGCCCTAAACTGTGAGTTTACGACGCAAAGCTTCGCGGCCGTTTTTTTTTTCAGGCGTCCGGACGTACAAAAACCCCGGTGGAGAGCACTTCAAGATCTTCTTGGGGTGCCATGCCATCCTCGGAAGTGGCTGGCGATTCACCTTTTAGGGAACAAAACGGGGGCTGCCATACGTAGGAACCCATCAGAAGTGGGATATGTTGGGATGTACCCTAGAAACAAACCGTTGATTTTCGTGGGTTCATCCACGTAGATGAAGTTAAGACCTATGTCCAAGATGTGATTGACGTCAATGGGACGATTGAAGAATGCACATGTATTTCCCGTCTATCTTGTCTCCACCACGGTACCGGTTTTTGATCATCATGGGTCAGACTGGCACTGAAGATGTGGACCCAGGTTAACCCCTGAGCCATCGGGCCAAAAGCCCCCAATGCCTTCCACATACCTCATCCACAGCATGTCCCAGAGACACTGGGAATTGAAGATGGATCTCCATGTAGATACAGTAGGGCTGATAAAAAAAAATGACTATCACCATAGTGATTTCACCCCAAGTTCGGGATATCATACCGGAACTTACGGCCAGATATACCCTGAACCATCCTGAAGATGTTTAAATAGCATCGAGCCTCAGCCGTGAAACATAGCTGGGGTTCCCTGTATTTTAGAAGCCCGGGCCCCTGAAACGAAACAAAGAAACCATAAAATATGGCAGCACAAAAAAGCATCTCAGATTTTGGATCAGAAAACTATCCTCTTCACAAAAAGGGTTCGTCCAATTCTCCAAGGAAAATGCAGTTCCGCCAAATTCACAAAAACGATATTAGGAGAACCTGCCATGTAGATCATGTTCAGGGACACCCATTTTCTTTTCCGAAAATCCATATAATGTTGGTAAAGCAATATATCATAAACCATCCCCAGAATCAACACTTTTATGCGTGCCAAAAAACCATCAAAAAAAGAAAAGGTGGTGTTTGACATTGATTTACTGGTCGATCCCCAAAACCATGGATTTCAATACTAAAATGGTATGTATATATATATAATTATTACTATTATCATTATTATTATTAATCATTATTAATTATCATTATTATTATTATTTATTATTAATCATTATTATTATTTATTATTATTATTATGACATGGATGATTTGGGGGTACCCCACTTAGGAAACCTGCTGATTTCGTTTTGGAGCCGTTGGAACATCCTGGCACCGCCGAACTCCCGCTGGGCCAACGCACAATGTGAGCGCTGACGCCACCACCTCAGAGGGGAAAAAAACACCGAGGATCAGGTCGTTTTTTGGACGAAAACATCGGAAAATCATAGGAAAATATAGGAAAAACCACTAGAAAGGGAGGTTTATAGCTGGGAAAATCATCTAGAAATGAAGGTGTTCCAAGTCTTAGGGGTACCATCCAGATCATCCAAGTCATGGATGACTTAGTGTTGAAACAAGCATGCTGCATCTTTGACAACCCAATGGACTTCGTTGATTTTCCGTCACGAACTTCGACTGGATGATTCCCATTTCCAGATCCAAGACATGGTGGAAACTCCAGATAAAACTTCCAGTTCGCATCCATTTACAGATACCCTCTGGTAAACGTTTACATAACGAACTGGAAAATCAGCATGCTATTAATGGGTAAATCAACGAACTTTCTATGGGGCTTCAATAGCTATGTAACAAATTACCAGAGGTTAGGATTTTCCGTGAAATAAACCCTTCATATCCCACCCATCCCACCCATGGGAACCCCAACGACACCGATGATGTACACGATCAAAGTGATGGAGCTGGGATTGATCACCGTGGAGCTCAAGGCCTCGTGAAAACTCTGAACGTCATTTCTTTGAGGACGGGAAAACATATGTATATGTGTATGTATTTGTATATGTATTTGTATATGTATATATGTATGTATATGTGTATGAATTTGTATTTGTATATGTATATGTGTGTGTATTTGTATTTGTATATGTATATGTGTATGTATATGTATTTGTATGTGTATATGTATTTGTGTATGTAAATGTATATGTATATCATATACATTTAATACATATATTGTTTTTTTGAAGACTTAACAGTAAACCCAACTTGCAAAGCTCACCATTGACATCGAACGTTTGCATGTTTGTTCACTTTTCTTATAAGCCCATGAGGAAATGTGACCAATACCCTCTGGTATTCGGTTACATGGCTATGGAAAATCACCATGTTTAGGTAGATCATCTATCAATGGGCCGTTGTCCATAGCTATGTTGAATTACCGGATGATATTATGGGATTATCATAACAAATGATATATGGGGATACTTTGGGAATTTATCACCAGTTATTTTCCGGGAATGATATGTACATATACATACATACATTACATTACATTGGATTATATACATTACAGTACAGTGCGTTGCGTTGCATTGCGTTGCGTTGCGTTGTGTTGCGTTGCGTTGTGTTGAGTTGCGTAACATAACATAACATAACATAAGATAAGATAACATAAGATAAGATAACATATATAACATAACATAACATAACATAACATAACATAGCATAACATAACATAACATAACATACATATATACATATACAAAATAAGATATCCCTGTTATATCATGGGAATATCACCAATAATATGGGATTATCACAACCAATTTTGTTTGGGCTTATAGCCAATAATCATGGGAATGATGGTATAGTGGGAATATCGTGCCGGCTATACAACCAAGAGGATATGGAACTATTGTGGAATATTTACCTGAACCAATAATCTAGTTCTAGATACATTACGTTTCTGAATCTTTTTTGCGCATGCTATATATACATATATGCTATGTATATATATATATATCATATATGCTATTGTGGAATGGAAAGAAGGCATATCACCCGCTTTGTTTGAGGTGATTGTTACATGAAAGACACGTGCTTTACGTCCATAAGAATCCCCTCAGACCTAGGGCAAGATGATGAAAGATACCATCGGAGAAGATCACAAGAATGTGTTCTTTCGATCCCGGCGAAATTCCCATCTTTAACTTTATTATATTAAATCCTTTTTTGGCTAGTCAATTTCCCCTTGTTACCAGTTATATCATGTTAATATCCCATGATATCCCATGTCGAAATTGCAAGTTCCTTTGCCTTTGGCAAGTGAACTCTTTTGCAATCCCCATGTGGGCCATGGTCAATATTTAGTTTTTTTTTTCGCTCCAGGTCATCAATTTTTGAAGAGTGTATAAACAGTTTATTATCGTTTTTCAAGTTTGGGCTGTAGCTCAAAGATCCCGATCTAAGCCGTTCGGGCGACTCCCCACCTTCGCCAGGGTCAGGTTCCGTACGGCGTCGGACAACTGAGCGCGTCCCGCGGGCGATGATGAGATTTATCGGCAGGACAATTCGCCCGGGGAAAAAAAAAAAATCGGGTGTCCTTCAGGGTTTGAAAGTAATGTTATGTTGTTTATAGATGTTTATAATATTTTACAATTATAGTTATACAAATTATACAGGTTCTAAAAAATGGTGGTTTCCAATCCAGGGAGGGTACCGTTTTTTATGATGGGGATTTCCCATGAACTAACCATCCAGCGTTTTTGGGGTACCCCCATGACTATGGAAAGCCTCAAAATCAGCGGCTATCACTGGATTGACTTCAGGAGAAAATGTGACCAATAACATTGGTCTTTACTATGACCAATTCAACGGATTGAGTTGAGGATAAACATCTTGAATCTCATGGGTCTTTGCCAACCAAGACACAACCGACAAAAAGTTGCTCACAAAAAGGCCGGCTTCGCTGATGAGGGACTATGTGACTATGCAGGAACTCCCAGCAGTTCTATGGCTACAACGTCTACGATATACAAATTTGGATGGTTTTTTCGCAGCAAAGTCGTGTCAAGTCGTGGCCAAACCAAGACTCGGGAGATGACAAAAATGGGGGCAACAACTGCACTGCTGGGACCCTGGGCGATGTAGACCAAGATCAGCAGATACTTTCGACATACTGCTTTCCTGCGCGTCCCGAAACAGCCATCAAATTTTAAGCCCCAAAAAAAGAACGTTCAAAGAGCAAAAAACGAAGGTTGATCGATTTCAGATTTGCCTCCTTCCAGCTCAAAAAATGGAGATGAAAGAATCAACAAGTTCTCCATTGCCATCCACCTATCACTGAATGGTGCCCCATAGTTAGCTAAGCATATCCCAAGTATATCCCATGTTGATTGTGTCCCCTCATTATATCCTTCGATTTGCTTAAGGAACTCCAAATATTAAGAAAAATTAGACAGATTCCCCAAGTAGTGGACATCCACTACTTAAGATTTGTTCAAAAAAAAACATCCAAAAACAACCCATGATATCCCCATTGGGGTGAACATCCCATGAAAAAGATGTGGACAATGATCAAAATCAGAAACCAAAAATTGCGGAAGATATTTTTTGATATTTAAAAATCCCATAAAAATTGGCCATGTATAATTAGACCAAAAGTTATTACCCTCTGGTAAACGTCTACAGTTTGCGAACTTGAAGCCATGGCCCAGTCGAAATAGTGAGTTTTCCCATTAATAGCATGGTGATTTTCCAGTTGGCAGTGTGTCAAAACCTTGTACCCCTGTAGTTCACATCAAAATAGCTGGGTTAAAATGGATGTTCATCCCCCTAGAAATGGTATTTTCATAGGTATTGATCCATACCCAGTTCGTTATGTTAGCAGATACGAATCCCAAAAAATTCTCCAGGTCGAGATCGCTGCGGCAATCTTCTTCTTGGGCGGAGCAACATCCTCGGTCCAAAGGCCCGAAGGCGCCATGGAGATGATGGGTTTCATCGAAAAAAAAATGGGTGTGTCTGAAAATCGTGTACCCCTTTTTACCCAATGGTTAATGATCAAACCCAATGGTTTTCATGATCATGATCCCTATTAAATGGCTATTTCGTTGGGAATATAGCCTATTTTCAGACAAAGCCATTTGGGGGTTGGCCTATTCTTCGAAAATGCAAAACATCGAAAACACACAGTTGAAATATGTTCTGTGATATATGTTCCTTCTAAAGATCACGTGCTGGTGGTTTCTGATTTCCCCCGTACACAGCATCACACGTTGGAGATGCCTGATATTAACTTCCTTGACAAAAATCACATGTATGGGCTGGGGGATTTACTGTGATCACTATTCAACTACAAAATAGTGATGTACCTTGACTAGTCACACCATGTGCAATCCCATCCTTGTTAGGACCGTACCATGGCCTCATAGCTTGGGGATGACGGACTGGACGGTGTTTATCATTTGGAGACACCAGATGTCCACGGCCGACACGCAAAAATATGCATCAATATGTACATTCAGATTTACTATGTTTATGTGTATATATAATCATAAATGTATATGTATACATGTATGTATATATATATATTATCATAGTTTATCATTATATATATATGTATATATATATATATGTATATATATATATATATATGTATATGTATATATATACATATATGTGACTCATGTGACACTAATATGGGTGCTCCCTCTGTTTCTCCCTGGAACTACACATCTGACAGAAATGATCAATGGCTTACATGCGCAAGTCCGAGCCGTGGGCTCGCACCGGCGGGGCTGACGACTCCTAAGCTGTCAAAGATGGCGTGCTGTTGGAAAATACCCCATGTTTCATTGAGGTTTACCCCCTTGTAAACATACCAAAAGCCATGGAAAATCACCTTTCTTGATGGGTAAATCAACTATAAATGGATATAAATGGGCCATGTTCAATAGCTATGTAACAAATTACCAGAGGTTTAGCCAGTCTTTGCGGTGGGACCTCCATCTGGGTCGAAAGTCAAGACATGTCAAGACCATGCTTTTTCAAGGTCATTTTGGGTAGCGTCAATTGGTGGCTTTTTTTCGTGGCAGTCTGAACTCCCAGGAAGTCGCGAGGATTGGTTTTCCACATGGACGTTTTAACCTTGGAAAATGATTCCAACTGCGAAAAACTGGGTGAACATCAAAATAGCTGGTAAATGGATGTTCACCCAGTAAATAGGTATTATATAATTGTATGGTTAATGAACATCAAAAACTGGGTGAACATCCAACTGGTAATAGGTATTGATCCATACCCAAATCCATTGCGCCGAATCACAAGGATCGGCCAGGAGTGCCCAACTACAAATACGGCTTGATCTGGAGAGCGAATCATGAATCCAAAACCCAAAACCTCCACGACGCTTGAATTTGATGGCTCCCCTATCCCCAGATTCTACAGTAATATAAGAGACATAGAAATCTGTATTATCACAGATTTATACACATTTGTCTATGGGCTATAGGAAAACACATATCATTTCAGGATGTCATGGCCGTTCAGAACCCCGGAACACCACCGGGCGGCCCGGACCGTGGAGGAATTCAGGGTCGCGGCCCTCTCTAGCACCTAGAAACGGCCCATGAGCCGCTTCAGTGATTGGCAATTTGAATAGGTGACAAAAAAAAATTGGGACTCCCGGTCCCTGATTGAGGGTTTTACATGCTAGGATTTGAGTAGTCACTTGTGGGCCCATTGATACATCATGTTTGGAGCCATGCATACCCAAAACAGGCACAAAAAATGTTTGCTTTTCTGTACTTTATATGTCTTCATTCTCATAGAAAAAAAGAAGCGCAAGCTAATCAAACCTGGAAAAATATGGCAGTGTGTCAAAACCAATAGTACCCCTTTTTTGTTCACATCAAGTCATAGCTGGGTTTTATGGATGTTCATCCCATTAAAAATGCTATTTTCATAGGTATTGATCCATACCCATATGGCTTCAACCACCATATGTTCCGGCGTCATTTTGCCGGGACCGATCCCATGGGATCCCATGCCGCCGGCGCCTTCACGTTGTGCCTGCCCAGTTGGAAAACAATCGCCGACAAGACCAGGATCGCAGCCAGCCTCGGGATCGAGTTTGGCCAGTGATTTTCATGACCTATGTACCGATGATGTATAAAATATGCCATAGATATGTATAAATATGTAAAATGATGTATAAATGATGTACAAATGATCTTCAAACTTTTACAAAAATATTCTGTATGGTCCCGGTAGATAATAATATTTACACCCCCAAGAATCGCTACCACCAGGAACAGGTTGGATCCACTGAATTGCTGCCTGGGAGGGAACAGCAAATTCCGTGGTTCATGAGCATGTTTCCCTATGAAAATTACCATTTAGAGGTCATAAATCACCAAATGTTCAGAAAAAAAAATATGTATACAGTATACATCGTATTGTTTGCTAGAAATCCCATTATCTCAAGTATATCAAGTATATCCCATAAAATCTCCCCACCATATCCCATAAGAAAAATCTCCATGTTTTGAAGAAGCGGTGTGCGCTTCTCAGGTGTCACTCCCCATGAGTCCCGTGCATGATGGACGGCAGCTCGCGGGTTTCAAAGCCCCACCTGCAGGGCTCGCCATTTCTACCTACGACTGGGGGATGATTTACCCTCTGGTTATGTCAAAATAGCTATTGAAAATGGCCCATTTATAGTGAGTTTTCCCATCAAAAATGGTGATTTTCCATAGCTACGTTAAATTACCAGAGGGTAGAGGAAAAAACGTAAACGATGTTGATTTTGGATGGCTTATGCTTGGGTTCACCACATTACTATGTCTTAAGACGGGGAAGCACGACTCGGAGGATAAGGCCACGGAGGTACCCAGAACTGCTGAGCCTGGTGTGTTTTTTCAAGTCCCCATATATGTTGGTGAACTAGCTATGGTTCCTAACCAGTTACAACGAGTGTCCATTAGAAACATTATATAATGAAATAGTAGTTATATCTCCCAGGATGGACTATAACTAATCCAATGATATATATTTATCCTGGGATATATGAACTAATATCCCATCATACTTATACTAGTTATATTCATCCAATGAACTATAATTAACATTGACTGATCATCCAACTACAACTCCCAATCATCGGTAAAATATTATCAGTATAGTTAAAATTAGTTAAATCATCCGTTAAATCATCCCATCATCCAATTATAACTATGCTGATCCCTGAACCACTCTAGGGGATGATTCTTTTTGGGCCAGGTCGTCTCGCGGCAAGTGCCATGGATAAACATAGAAAAAAATGTGGAACACCAATGGTTCCCTTATGAAAACCATCTACAAACGGTGGGTTGAACCCACATCTATGATAGTTTACAGACAGGAGGATATATAAATGTGTGTATATATAATATGTAATACACAGATAGTTAGGTTTGTTAATGCACCAGGAATTTCCCATCATGTCCATGTCCATGTCATACCTTGGATTTTGGCAGATCACCACGATGCCGTCCGATCGCCATCCTCTCTGCGGCCATTTAACCGAACCCACTAAGGTGGTGGGTGGGAGCGGCTACTTGAGTTAAGGAAAAGCTACGAGCATAGGATCCTGTGTTGGGGACACAGTTGTTGGAGGTTCAACGGGGTTGACCATTTTGGAAACAGGGTTTCCCAGTACATTCACATTGGTAGCGGAGCGCTGGGCTGCCGCAATATCCTAGGTGCTAGTGGGTCTTCACAGCAGGGGCTAGGAGACTTTTAACTTCACCCTAGGTGTGAGCCATGGAGGGTGAAGCTGCGCAAGCAGCGGGGTCCGGGGCCTTCTCCACAGCGGTGCCGTGGAGTCAGATCCCCAAGTTCATTCCTGGGGAGACAGACCTCAGGGTCTACACCAGGAAGTTAGAGTTCCTGAAGGAGCTCTGGCCAGCTGAATACTTGGAGCAGCTGGCACCAAGAGCGGCCTTGTTGGTCGAGGGGGTGGCATTTCAGAAAATATCGAGGCTGGATCCAGCCAAACTCAAACAGAAGGAGGGCGTGAAGTATCTGGTGGAGGCGCTGGGCGGCCAATGGGGGCGTCCGGACACAGAAGAGCGCCTGGACATGTTTGAGAAGGCACTTTACCTTACAGTGCAGAAGGCTGATGAAAGTCATGACTCGTACATGGCACGTCATGATGCAGCCTTCGAAGACTTGTTGATGAGAAAAGTCACCATCGAAGAAGTCAGGGCCTACATCCTGATCAGGCAGTCCTTGCTGAGCAGTGAAGATCGCAAGAAGATCATCTTTGAGAGTGGTGGGGCCTTGTCATACGACCAGGCAAAGAAGAGCATCAAATTGCTGGGATCGAAATTCTTTTTGGAGTTGCAGAACAATTCCAAGATGGCTCCCAAACTCAAAACGTATGATGTCAATCAGGTTGAGGACGAGACAGTGATGTATCAAGAAGCTGAAGAGGAAGTGGACGAAGATGTTGCCTTTCAGGTGCTCCTGGAGAACGGTGACGAAGATGCCTGCTTTGTCAGTGAGTTCGAGGATCAGATCTGTGCAGCGTGCCAAGAGTCTCAAGAACTTGCTGCATGCTTTGTGAGCTACCAGGAGGCTCGAGCTCGCTTGAGAGATAAGGCAAAATCGAGAGGCTTCTGGCCATTGGCAGGATACAAGGGAAAAGGAAAAGGTCGAAAGGGCAAGCCGTTCATGGGAGCCAGCAACACCAAGGGTGGCTCTGGTCAAGCGGGACTTCGTCGACGAAGTCTTGCTGATCGCATCGCAAATTCAACATGTAGACGATGTGGCCAGCCAGGACATTGGAAGAGAGAGTGTCCGATGGCGTCGAACCCGACTGGCAACTCTCTCATGATAAAGAAGAACGATGCAGAGTCCTTCACTGGCATCTCCCAAGTCGAGGGCTATGGCAACCAACATGGTGAACATGAAAGTGATCGCAGTAGCCTGGACGTTGTCTAC